CTCAAGTTATCACACATGAAATGGTGTATTGGTAGTAGACAATTAATCTGTTTGGGGCAACTTTGGGTTCATTATCAGGACAGGTCTTAAGTTAGGTCAGATGTGATCCATCAAGGGTCGAGAGGGGGGTAATTACCAAATTGAATAGGAGAGCTGGTTAGGCCCCCACCGGGACATGGATTATTACATAACACTACTTCACCCAAGGTGAATTTACAGCCTCACATGGTAAACCTCTCATTAGCCTGACAAGTAAAGGTCATCATTTTTTTCCTTTGTGAATTGATAGAAGAGTAAGTGTTTCTTTGAAGCTTGTTCTACTCCATTGGATTAGTGCTAGCCCACCTATAGTTTGCTAACTTGCATGAAATTAGATGAAGGATAGCTTATTTCCTTTACACGAAGGCCACCAGTGATGTGAAAATTGTTTCCAAATGAAGAATGGAAAAAGGTTAAAGGGTTTCTTTGATACATGACCCAAAGATGACTTGAGGTAGATGGCAGCACCTATCGATTATCAGAACACCACCAGGTGGCGCTGATTGGTAAATGTACAAGAAGACCAGCAGTTTTATGGCCATAATAGACTTTTTGGAGTTTTATTGATGTAGAAGAAACTTACTGTTAGAATTTTAGTGTTTTATTTCTTAGCTATTTGGCTTAGACATTATCTTTGGGTGAAAATTAAATTGGGTGAATTATGAGGATGGGTGTTGTTTGTGAAGTGTAATACATCATTGTTTGAGGCTACTGGAGGCTACTGGTTCAAATGCTGTCTGTTGTCATGTTTGTGATAAGGCTATTTCACCACACTTCCCATGTCTGGCCTTTCACTATTGATGATCAGAGCACTTCTCACTTCATGTTCAAAGCTCAAAAACTGTTCTGGCTGATAAAACTGATACCAACATAATGGTGTAGCTTTGTCGCAATCTGAAATTTGGATTTTTGTCAAGCTTTTCTTTCGACATTTAATCTGGTAAATCATGATGTATGAAAGGTTAGGTATAAACATGTACGTATATATATTACCTCGTTGCCTGTTGGGTGTGTCGACAGAAGTGGTATGAGAAGGGTTCAACATCTAACTTAGACCCTGGATCATGACACGTTGTTATTTGGACATATTTTGATGGCCCTCATACATGTATAAGAACACAAATATAATCAGAACTGACATATGAAGATAGATACATCTGACCTTCCTTTCAGAAATTTGTACAGAGCAGAAGTGCTGTAATAGATATATTGTGTGTTCTGCGGACACATGACGTACTGTAGACACATAGTGTCCTTAGACACATCATTAGCTGTAGACACTTGTGCTTAGACACATGCTGTGCTTAAATACATGTGCTGTTGATACATTGTGTGCTTAGACACAATGATGGTGCTGTAGTCACATTGTGTGCTTAAAGACATGTGCTGTTAATACATTGTGTGCTTAGACAAAATGATTGTGCTGTAGTCACATTGTGTGCTTAGACACATGCTGTGCTTAAATACACATGCTGTAATATATTTTGTACTTAGATACATCATTAGCTGTATATTGTGTGCTTAGACACAATAATTGTGCTGTAGTCACATTGTGTGCTTAGACACATGCTGTGCTTAAATACATGTACTGTAGACACATAGTGTCCTTAGACACATTAGCTGTAGACACTTGTGCTTAGACACATGCTGTGCTTAAATACATGTGCTGTTGATACATTGTGTGCTTAGACACAATGATTGTGCTGTAGTCACATTGTGTGCTTAGACACAGCATTAGCTGTAGACACTTGTGCTTAGACACATGCTGTGCTTAATTACACGTGCTGTAATATATTTTGTGCTTAGACACATCATTAGCTGTAGACACTTGTGCTTAAATACATGTGCTGTTGATATATTGTGTGCTTAGACACAATAATTGTGCTGTAGTCACATTGTGTGCTTAGACACATCATTAGCTGAAGACACACTGGGTAAAAGACACATCCTATGCTACAGACCTTTTGCTCTACCAGTGTAGCTAGCCTGATAGTTTATTAAATATTACCAGGTATTAATTGATCAGCAATAGACCCCTGTACAGTTTCCTGATGAACACCTTCAGCAGTAAAAGAGCTAATAACCATCCAATATATTGCTGACATCGAACCATTATAGTACTCAATAACCTTAGTCAAAATCTGATAAAGATTCAGTCTGCTTTTTTATGGCAAAGTTCTGCCATTACGATAAAAGACTGTTCACCATGAATACCACAAATACTCCTGTCTTCATCACATATGATGAAAATGATTCTGATGGATGACAGAATGATTATTTTTTATGCTCCCAATAAAAATGGGACTGAATCTTTATAGTGTTGCCCTTGTCTGTCCCGTCCCATCCTCTCGTGATTCATTGTGATACATCTTCATCAAAGTTTATACCAAGGTCAAGTATGAAAATATCTGGGATAGGTTGTGTTTCAGGATCTGTTTTTGTTTTTGTTTTTTTGTGGAATTGGTCTGTAGTGTAAGAAAAAGCATGGGATGTGACTTTGTGTATTGAATGACCTTGACCCCGGGTAGTCACACTAACACCTTTTTTTTTTAGAGATATCTACTTTACTAAATGGCTGCACCCAGGGTTTCTTCAATAGTCGAAAACATCTGTTGGATTCTGCACACCTGTTCATTTGAAAACACTTATCTAAAAGAAGGGAACCTGCTTAAAACTTCTCAAAAACATGACCTGCAAACATCATAATTTTGACAAGAGCAGCTGAACTTTGCTTGTTTGTTCTCCTTGGCAGCAGCCATTGATAAATGTGAAAAATACAATTGCTGTTAATAACAGCATAATTAGTCATCAGGGACTGTATGTTCAATGAGCAATTCAAAGGGCAGTGTGTTTGGCAGAACATAAAAGTGTGGGGTAAAGTCAAGTAAAATTTGATTAAGGGGGTGTCAACTGTTGAGTAACTGAGTAGGGAGTTAGAGAGTGCAGCAGACTTCAGTTCATGACTTTAAAGTGAACTGAATCAGGGGTTATGCAATTATGGCTGTCCTCAGTTAAGGAGTATATGATTTAGGCAAATGTACAGTAAGAAAGAGGCTGTTGAAGGCTTAGTAGACCTCCTTAACAATGTTAGAAGATTTGAGTAGCCAAGACATGGACCAAGACTATAGAGATTTTAAACTGAAAAAAATGTGGCTTTGGGGCTGACATTTGAGTAAGGAACTATGAAAGGTTAAAAATCAAGGATTGTTGAAACTTTTGAGTGAGGAGCTGGGGTGACTGAAAAATAGGTTTTGGAAAGATATGAGTAAGGGTTACTAAGTTGGTTATTTAATGCTGAGTGAAAGATAGACAACCTGAACTCTTTTCTCCTCCTCCTCCTCCTCCTCCTCCCCCTCCTACACTCGCTGCTGTCATCTCCTGTGAATCTCTACTGGATTAACAGATTACACCCTTCACAGAAAAAGTTCTCTAAGGCTGGGCTCTATACAGCCAAAACACTATCAGACTGGTAGTGTGCACGTGGTCGGGACAGACCAGCCATTTACCATTAGTGCTTTAGTACCGGTTCCTCCAGACATGAAACAAGTGTGTACATTGATATAGAATCTTCTGTTGTTACAGTGGTCTTACGAAGCTGTAGGGGGAGAGAGGTGTAGCTACCAGCCATACACATCACTATACCCCCAGGGGGTCGGGATTTGGGGATACATGTTTAACAGTTTATAGTTTGAGATGAGGCCAGAGCTAATGAGTTTTCCATGTCTGTATTTTGTCTTTATGTTTCTGTTTGTGGTTGTGTGTGCTGATCAAGATATGGGGCACATCAGTGCAGCAATCGGTGTGAATCATATTATCCAAGAAAAACAAGTTTTTTATTGTAAAATAACTGAAACATTTTATAAACAAAACCTGCTATGACGTTGTTCTTCAGTAGGTTATAGGTTGTAAAAGAAAGAGGCGATATATATATCAGGTGTATACCCTCGTTTGAGTGTTAACCATCCCTAAGATAGAGCAATCATGTGTAAGAGTTACGAGTTTCATTTAATTACAGATATTGAAGTAGAATTACAATGCCTGGATAAAATGTCTCTTCAACTTTGAATCCTCATGATCTATCGATATTCTCTATCATAAGAAAGATAGTGTCAATGATCTGCCATTAGGATTTAAACCAGCAGGAATAATGACATCAAATATCGGGACTGTTACGTTGGTTACAGATCTGGGTAATTCCTACAGGTAAGTGACTATAACTACGCTCCAGACTTGACCTGGTATGGAGGATAGACTCTGTACTTCTAATACAGATGCAGTAGTGCACACATAAAGTGCAGTAGGAGGTGTGTTCTAACACTGGCGGAATAATGCCTGCTGAGAACAGGTTGTCGGTGATACCTCGCAGCGCTTGTCAGACTTGTTGAGCGGTGATAGTACCATGATTCCGATAGGTGGACCCTGTTATATTACACTGTAGATGGCAGGTAGTGTTATTTGTGTGGTTTGTTGACAGTTCCACCAGTTACATTGCCATTACTGACAACATTACTGGTGCACACAGACTGCTGCCGCTGCTGTAAAAATTGTGTTACATGGACAGGGCCAGTATTGATGTCACCGACTTGTGACTACACTTGCCTGATCATCCAACATTAGGTTATGGAATGAACAGATTCATATGAGAGCAACAGAGTGGTCAAAGAACTGGTACTTGTAATACTCCATTAGAAACTGCATTCATTGAGGCATATAAGTAAACGAAGCATGACACAGCAATAAGTGGGAACACTGGAGTCTATTTGTATTTATCATCTGGGTCTGGTAGATGGGTTGAAAAGCTTTGTATATGAAAACAATAGAGTTGCTTTATTCTCCATGTGTAATATTTTTCCAGGGTAGATGTAATTTACCTGTATATCTATCTTTATCTTACCATCATGCCAAGTGTACATATCGTTACAGTGAAACAATTTTATCTTTTATTTCTTCTCTACTTTCAGCTCCAAACAGTCAACAAAATGTTTGACAGTTGGCCAAAGTCATCGCCATAGCAACAGTGTTCCACGTTGCCATTCTACCCTCCAAGGTGGAGAAGTCGGTGGGAACCAAGGACTTTGGCATTGCTAAAGCTCTGGCCTCAATACTCAAGCTAATGCAGACAGTGGTCATGGAAACAGGGTATGGGCCAATGGTGGGCCCCCCAGTCAGTGGTCTCCAATCTGGGGAGCCAGATATTTTAGACAATGGCAAACACGACCCCAAGATCGGCTCACAGGAATCGTTTACGGAATTCCTGGCACGAAGTGCACCCCAAAGTAATGGTCCCGTGTTACACAGGCGTGCGGATAGACACTTCAGTAAACGCATGCGCCGACGATTAGTGTACAAAAATGGGGAGGTAAACATTACACAAACAAATATCAGAAAGAGAAGACGGCGTTTTCTGGCCGATATTTTTACGACATTAGTGGACATCAAATGGAGATATAATTTATTATTGTTTGCCATGGCATTTATCCTAAGTTGGCTTATATTTGCAGTGATATGGTGGTTGATATGTTTTTCACATGGTGACCTTGACCCTGACAACATGAACAGTGATAAGTGGGTGCCTTGTGTTAGGGAAATGGGCTCATTTACGTCAGCCCTTCTGTTCTCTATAGAGACGCAACACACGATTGGATATGGATCTCGACACACGACAGAAGAGTGCCCGGAGGCCATCATTGTCATGATGATTCAGTCGTGTTTTGGTGTGATATGTCAGGCTATGATGACCGGTATAGTGTTTGCGAAACTCTCCAGACCTAAAAAGAGAGCAGAAACTCTCATGTTCAGTAAAAATGCGTGTATTTGTAAACAGGATGGAGAGATGTGTTTATTGTTCCGTGTGGGCGACATGCGTAAGTCACACATTGTTGAGGCACATGTACGTGCAGTGGTGATAAAAAAGAAGATCACGAAGGAGGGTGAAATTCTACCCCTGTATCAGTACGATGTGGACCTAGGCTATGAGGATGGGCAAGACCGACTCTTTTTGGTCTGGCCTGTCATCATAGTCCACAAAATTGATGAGGACAGTCCTTTCTGGGAAATGTCTCCGGAGGATCTTCACCGGGAACAGTTTGAGCTGATAATTATCCTGGAAGGGATTGTTGAGTCTACTGGTATGACAACACAAGCCCGCAGCTCTTACCTTCCCGGAGAGATCCTCTGGGGCCACAGATTTGAACGTCTTGTCACATTCCGCAAGGAGAACGGGCAATATCAGATTGACTTCTCACGATTCCACAATACAATGGCGGTGGAGACGCCGCAGTGTAGTGCCAAGGAGCTCTCCGATTTGGGTGAAACAGTGCAGGAAAATACATACATTGAGGATGATGAAAACACATCGTTAGGGTCAACAAAACAGGAGAGGTTCCCCAGTCCTTACGTCATCAAGCGACATGGAGTCGCACAGACGGACTTCGATGATGACGATCTAGATTCACAAGACAGTTCAATACCGAGTCGAATAGCAGCAGAGGAATCGGAGACACTCTTATGACAATAGGCCCAACACATAGTACTAAGGTAAGAACAGAACAGGGAGGAGGTATCATGTATAGAATTCTCTAGTACAAAATAGCACCAACATATATAAACAGAAGACATAACCAGGTAGGTTATGTATAAAACAGTAACAACATATGCATATAAAGGGGTAGTTTAATATGTACAAAATAGTACCAACATATATACATAATAATACCATAGTAAGCTGTAAACAGAATAGATGTAGTGAATTTAAACGGTAATTGAAACGCACTGGTAATTAATATTGAAACATGACATGTTCATGTAGCCACAACACTTCCCTACGCAATAAATGAACTACAAACATTTTATGTTTGTCATTCTCAGGGCTTGAGAAAATTACGCGAAACTTGCTGTAGATTTCAAAAATAAACATTGAGCGAAAGTATATGAACATTTATAGAAGTTCATGTACAACATTGGATCCAACATGCACTGTATTCAACCGTAGGTTATAACCACAGGTTATGTACCAAGCTCAGAATCCACCACACAGTATATTGAACAATTGTGTGCAGAATAGATTTAACTTTAAGATGATGATATTTAATTCCCTTTTCTCTGCTACGAGCATGTTAAGTGACATTTTGTCTGGAACAGACATATTCGGTGCCCTTTTGTCTCGTACAGGATTAGTTGAAGATGTTCAAGGCCTTTTTATCTGATGTAACATTGTAAAAGTTCAACGCTTCTTTTGTCGGGAACAGCATTAAGTTGACAATATTAAGTGCTCCTTAGTTAGATACAAATTTGTCTCTGCAGTAAAACAATGTTCAGTGACCTTTTAAAATTGGTGGTATAACCACATCAGGGTTGTGTTTAAAACCATTGATTTAATTGTGAAAGTGTTTTAATAAGATTAGTTGAAATTATGCCTTTATGACCAGAGTTGTGCACATGTTGGTCTGCAGTTCTCTGACACCAGTCACTGACACATGGGGGCAATTACGGCTCATTGTTATGTTTCTCTGGTCTCCACCTTTTACTGGTAACACACACAAGTCTTAATATAACTACAAATATACAAAGAAGGAATACTACAGAAGTATGAGGCCAGTAACCTGTGGTTGTAACTAGATAGTTTTACATAAACCTTGAGGACAGTCTTGGCAGTATGTATGTGTATAGAAGTCTTAAGGCAGTCTGTATCTGTGACTAGGTATACAGTAGTCTGAGGGCAGTCTGTATATGTGACTAGGTATACAGTAGTTTGAAGGAAGTCAGTATCTGTGACTAGGTAAACAGTAGTCTGAGGGCAGTCTGTATCTGTGACTAGGTATACAATAGTCTGAGGGCAGTCTGTATCTGTGAATAGGTATACAGTAGTATGAGGGCAGTCTGTATCTGTGACTAGGTATACAGTAGTCTGAAGGCAGTCTGTATCTGTGACTAGGTATACAATAGTCTGAGGGCAGTCTGTATCTGTGACTAGGTATACAGTAGTCTGAAGGAAGTCTGTATCTGTGACTAGGTAAACAGTAGTCTGAGGGCAGTCTGTATATGTGACTAGGTATACAGTAGTCTGAAGGAAGTCTGTATCTGTGAATAGGTATACAGGAGTCTATNATCAATACATCCTCTTCAAATCTACTCCAAGGAAAAAATAGTTAACACAGACTATTTTTACGAGNAGTCTGTATCTGTGACTAGGTATACAGTAGTCTGAGGGCAGTCTGTATCTGACTAGGTATACAGTAGACTGAAGGCAGTCTGTACCTGTGACTAGGTATACAGNGTATACGCATAGGTGATTTGAAAAAACTTACAGAACTTACATAGAACGGAGCTTAAATTGATCAACTACATTTTCGTAATAGTATGGGGAAACGCACCGAGATGTCGAAACGTAATGTACAGGAGTATATGGGCAGTCTGTATCTGTAACTAGCTATACATGAGGCTGAGGGTAGGCTGTACCTGTGACTAGCTATACATGTGTCTGAGGGCAGTCTGTATCTGTGACTAGCTATACATGAGTCTGAGGGCAATCTGTACCTGTGACTAAGTACAAAGGAGTCTGAGGGTAATCTGTACCTGTAAGTAGGTATATAGGAGTCGTAAGGCAGTCTGTAGCTGTGTTTATGTACACAGGAGTCTGAGGGCAGTGTGTATCTGTGGCTAGCTATCAGTGACTTTATCAAGTCTAAGGGCAGTCTGTAGCTGTGGCTAGCTATCAGTGACTTTATCTGAAGGCAGTCTGTATCTGTGGCTAGCTATCAGTGACTATATCTGAAGGCAGTCTGTATCTGTAGCTAGCTATCAGTGACTATATCTGAGGGCAGTCTGTATCTGTGGCTAGCTATCAGTGACTATATCTGAAGGCAGTCTGTAACTGTCTATATGTCTGTGACCTCACATGTGGGGTCAATAAATATCCATATACATTTACACTGTTGTTTTGACCCAGTAGGAACTGTTCTGTAATGATCTGGCATGAGGTACAATTACAATAGTCATTAGTCAGTGTAGAGTTGGTGTTGGTGTTGGTGCTGATGGATAGGTGAGCATGTGGTCAGTTCTGTGTGTGATAAAGATGTCTGTGTATCTGATTGTCAGAAAACTTTGGGAAGACATATTTCACTCTCTGCATTCAAAACAATTTTGAAGGCAGCTCACTGGTTCAAAAGAGATTGCAACCTCTCCAAAAATTAACTTTTCTAAGAACTTAATATCTTCAGTAAGATTGGTCAGTTTAGAAATGTATAATATCAAAGGTTTACTCTATACACAAACTATTTACAACCCAGTTCATCGTTTGTGTATAAAGTTAAAGTTTGATACATGCATTATTCTAAGAACTTGTTTATCATAATTGTTTTTTCAAGAAGGTTAAATTTACAATATGCTATCGGTTTACTACAATTTTAAAATGTATCATCATCTGTTCAATGTTTTGAGGAACAATTCTGTCTTTACACATGCTGTGGTTGCTGATGGCCTGGACTGATATTAAGTCCTGTCCCCTATATAATGGTATCACTGTGGTTCCTGATGGCCTGGACTGATATTAAGTTCTGTCCCCTATATAATGGTATCACTGTGGTTCCTGATGGCCTGGACTGATATTAAGTCCTGTCCCCTATATAATGGTATCACTGTGGTTCCTGATGGCCTGGACTGATATTAAGTCCTGTCCCCTATATAATGGTATCACTGTGGTTCCTGATGGCCTGGACTGATATTAAGTCCTGTCCCCTATATAATGGTATCACTGTGGTTCCTGATGGCCTGGACTGATATTAAGTCCTGTCCCCTATATAATGGTATCACTGTGGTTCCTGATGGCCTGGACTGATATTAAGTCCTGTCCCCTATATAATGGTATCACTGTGGTTCCTGATGGCCTGGACTGATATTAAGTCCTGTCCCCTATATAATGGTATCACTGTGGTTCCTGATGGCCTGGACTGATATTAAGTCCTGTCCCCTATATAATGGTATCACTGTGGTTCCTGATGGCCTGGACTGATATTAAGTCCTGTCCCCTATATAATGGTATCACTGTGGTTCCTGATGGCCTGGACTGATATTAAGTCCTGTCCCCTATATAATGGTATCACTGTGGTTCCTGATGGCCTGGACTGATATTAAGTCCTGTCCCCTATATAATGGTATCACTGTGGTTCCTGATGGCCTGGACTGATATTAAGTCCTGTCCCCTATATAATGGTATCACTGTGGTTCCTGATGGCCTGGACAGATATTAAGTCCTGTCCCCTATATAATGGTATCACTGTGGATCCTGATGGCCTGGACTGATATTAAGTCCTGTCCCCTATATAATGCTAACACTTCTACCTTGGTCACAAATTTTGGATGTTTCTGATGGCATTGCAACCAATTGCCAAAGTCTTACAGTTGAAGTGGTGTAATTGTCCAAGCCTTGGCGATAAAGTGATCCATATTCACTTCATTGGACCCATTTATATGGTCTGAACAAAACCACATCCATACTAGAATTAGATGCATTTCACTAATTCCTGACAGTTGATTCTTTCTTACATCTCAATTTTCCATTCATTACTCTCAAACAAAGAAAGGAACACATTTGATATCTGTTTATTGGAGAAAATGAAAGGTTTGATCATTTTGAAGTGTCGAGGGCAATCCTCCAAGAAGTACAATGGACTGATGGAGTGTATAGATGTGTTAGAAGCTAATTGAGGAATAGAAAGTACATGATCATTTGGTTTACTTCTCAATGCTGTACTTTACATTGAATCTAAAATCCATTCTAGTTTGTGGACATATGCTGAGCATTGTGTAGCCTGGTCCATAATGACATCTCTGACATTGATTCATTCTTTTAGTTTTAAAAGCATTGGAATAACTGTAAAATGTGAATGGTTTTGCCCTCGTTGTATCTCCACTTCAAAACAACAGGTTGGATTCACCACAGGATGAAAATTGTGATGTAATTTTGTAGTTTTGGCTGTATTTGTTTTTAAAAGCCAGAGCCAATAATTGTTGCAGGGTAAATGTTATATGTTTTACAACATAAATAGTACATGTATTTTCTTAAGAGTTTAGGGAGTACTTTTATTTGTGTCATGTATGATTGAGAAATATCCCTATGGTAGAATCTATGCTTTGGGTTTCATGAAAAAATATCTAACACTCCAATAGGCAAGTTTGCTACTTTTTGGGCATCTGCTACATGTAATATGTAAAATAAAATGTGGATTTTCTTTTCGGGTGGAAACGGGTTATATGTTATCATCGGATGAAAACAAGTAGAATGTGATGGAGTTGGTCCAAAGAGTCCGACACAATCAGCATGAGGTGATTGAGCTTGAGGTTTGGTTTGGCGAGACCCAACAATTCCAGCCCATCTGGGGTTGGCGAGACCCAACAATTCCCGCCCATCTGGGTTTGGCGGGACCCAACAATTCCAGGCCATCTGGGTTTGGCAAGACCAAACGATTCCAGCCAATCTGGGTTTGGCGAGCCCAAACAATCCAGCCCATCTTGGTTTGGCGAGACCAACACTTCCAGCC